ATTTGCTTTCCTTTCCCTTTTATTCCACTCAATCCCATTTTTCAGCCAATCCTATTGGGTCTGCTGCCAAAACATAATAACTCTTCAATAACCCTATCTAAATCATCATCTCTCTTACCTTGTCTATGCTGGTAGCCTCCTAACTCATCTCCCTGCTTCCACTCTTGCCTGCTTAAAGCCCACTGGCCACAGAACAGCTAGAAGGATCTTTCTAAAATGTAAATCAAATCATGTTATCCCTCTTTACAGAGTAGATGATTAGTAAATATTTGTTGGCTGAATCAGTCAAGCAGTGAGTAATGGTGCTATAGCAATGGAACGGTCAATAAGACAGAGACTGGAAAAAAACAAAGATTCAGAGAGCCCAGATTATAAGAAAGCCTTGATTCATTGTGTATAATTCTGTCTTTACTTGAAACTTAAGCATATGAGTCTACTTCTATTCACTGGCCTGCTTGTGAACACTTGACAGCTTACCCAGAGAATTCCACTGACAGCCAATCAAGGTTTTTTCTTGGCCACTTAGAGTCTAAACAGCTGCCCAGGTTTAATTAATATTCTACAATTATATCTGGAGAGGATCCAGTTTCTGAGACAGGTGTGTAAATGAAAGGACGATTCCTAGCTCTTTTCATGAGTCACCCGTCTGAGTCTGGTGAGATAGACTCAAAGTTCTCAGGGGAATTGAACTGTTATTTTACAGAGTTCACTCAGGTTGAGGTTCCTGCATCGTGCTCCAGTGCCCACTTTATCTGCTGGTATTCATCATGCAAGATCCTGGGTTTGATTCTGTGAAGTTTGGTTTTAGGGTGTTTAAGCAATGTCCATTTGCCAGGAATCTCCAACAAAGCAATAAGAAACACAGCACTGATTGTTATGGTGCAAATGTCACAACTCATTTAAGGGGATCATCAAGTAATGACAACAAGGATTCAAATGGGGGCTTACTCTTGATCCATCAGGAGTTTAAATGGCAATTATCATTAATTCTTGGATTCCCCTGTCCTGATAGAAATTCAAGTCATCAGAAACTATCACTTCGCAAACAGACAGCTATTAAAAGCACATTAATAATCTATAGAGGGCATAGCATATGCCTTTTAAAAAGATTTGCAGCTTGCTTCTCTGTGGCAAGACACAGGACTTCTCCAGTCTAATTACAAAGCAATCAAACAATTTAATTAATCTGGAAATCACTTTCTTAACAATAGCTGCCGCTAAAATGAGGCACCCTGTGTAGTGCCATTAGGTAAAGCATGTTTTTCATACACTGCTTATGTATTAGTCGTGCTAGTTCCCCATGGGGATCATGGAGTTAATTACCTACCTAATGCCTGACCACTGCTAAGGTTTACTTTACCAGGTCAGAAATAGCAGCAGTGATACCAGCAGCCTATAAAGTGTCCTAGCACTCAAACATCCAACAGCCAGCAAATCCCTGTGAGCAGCAGGATTTTAGTTATAAGCAAGTGCTGCACATATGGGCAGAGAATTAACTGGCACCAGTTTTCATTTGAAAGTCTCTCAGGTATTGCTTTACAGATGGGTGGATAAATTCAGAGAGCAATGCTATGAGGAGTGAAGGTCATGTATAGGACTCGGGTTTCACTCCGTTTTGCTCTCATCCTGGGAAGCACTGTGCATGCACACAGCAGTCAAGTCCTCATCGCTGAGTTTAGAATATATGTGTGTGTGTGTGTGTGTGTGTGTGTGTGTGTGTGTGTACACATATATATATATATATATATATTGTGCTTTATAATTTGGTCTGTTCTAAATTAGCAGTATCTTGATCACTGTGTAACAAAATAGTATTGCTAAGTCTTCAGAGACTGAGTAGGAATTGATTTTTATTTTAAATAAGAACAGAGACTTCAAAGATTGACTTCTACCAGCCTAATCTGCTAGTCTTACAATTATTCCCTAAGGAAAATGGAGGAATTTCTGTAATAAATAACACAAAAGTCTGTAGAATGCCCATTTACCCTTTTCTTCTGTTACCACCACTCCATATCTCTCCCAAAGTGTCCTGCTAGGGGGGTCAGTCATTTTCCCAGTCTACCCACATTGGCAACATTAGTCACTTTTTTAGTCTGCATCCTTTTTCACTTGCTTCTAATCTGCTAACAACTATGCTTGGTTTGCCTACCAGAATATCCTGTCTGGGTCTTGACATCCTTCCATGTCTTGGTCTGGGTCCTTCTTCTGCTACTCCGCTGGCCACCCATACCAAGTACACTCAGGGCAGGTTAGAACCTCTGGCATCTCTTCTCTTGCCTCCAAGTATTTCTTAAAGCCTCTAACTAGTTAGTAGCAATAAACACAGCTTACAGTTCATTGGCTTTCCTGGTCTGAATTGCCTTCAGTCAGAGAGCCCGTCTCGATTCCATTGCCTGACTGTGTTTATTTCTGACTCCTTCCTGAAGTCGACTTCTGTTTCTCCTCCTACCTAAAACCTGCTGAACTGCCCTCAAATTGAGCTAGAATCCCTTGTCCTTAAGGAATTATCAGTGGCTGTAGCCCACATCACTCTCACTCATCCTCTCTAATATCCTCTGACAGTTAAGAGCCTTAATGATAATTCATGTGTGTATGTATATGTGTGTGTATATATAGATAGATATTTGCATTTTAATTTAGCTTTTGGTGTGACATGAAACAGAAACGTCTGTGATTAGTAAGATAATACCGATGGCTCTATAGTCTTGAAGTAGAAGATGTGGGAATTTAAGTTTGGTTTTACAGCAGTGTAGTAGATAAGAAGAAAAGGAGGAAAATCTTTAAGTGATGGACCTAGAAAGGCAGCCCAAGATGCAAGGGCAAAATCTGAATATGGGAAATGGTTAATGGCAGCCTTGTTTTTTTTTTTTTTTTTAAGAGCAGAGTTAAACTCACCTATCTCTTTATGTATATCTCTGCCCATTCATCCTGAAGGTGATGGGTCACCATGGGGACCATTCACTAATATCCCTAAAAGTGAAAAGGATTTTAAGTCAATTCCTTGTTTCTTCCTTCTTGAGATTAAAATATATATATTAATAAGCTCTTTGTATTGTTCTGGTTGATCACATTAAAATCTCCAGATACAGTGTTTTCTTTACCAAGAACACAGGGCGAAGAATTTGCTGCCAGGTTTCTTTGGCCTTATGATTGCAATTTAAGTGAATAGGTGTAGCAGGGATTGTTCCTAGAATGTATTGGCTTCAAATAATCAGTTGTTGTGTTATGCCTAATAATTTACTGGTAGTTTGCTGTATATGGTGTGTGAGCAAATTGAACATTTTTCCCACATGAAAAACAAAATTTATATGAATATTTCTGGAATTAGTTTATTTCCTTTAGGAAACAAAATTTTTAGCCATCTTGAAATTTTGAGATTTTTAAAGGAATATGAAGAGAAATACACAAGCTAAATTAGGGGTGTGGGGAGTGGGGATGAAGGCTGTTGAGAGAAGTTGAAAGAACTTAATTTAGCTGTGTAGATAAATGGACAAAATGAATCCTGGATTACTGGATGGCAAAAGCAGAATTCATTTCTCCAGGGGCCCAAGGAACAACAGATGCAAAGCCACGATAAATTTCATTGCAGCAGGGGGAAAAATGCTTCATGATTTTCTATCCATAAAGAAATGGGCTTCTCAGCGCTTCCCAGTTAAATAGCTGTGATTGTGCTGTCTGTCATAAAGTTAATGGCATTTGTTTAGACATCACTATAAAATTTGCAACCTTAAGTTAATTGAAAAATTTCAGTAGAGATATAGCCAGTCCAAAAGTCCTCAAGGTAACACTAAACTTATCCTCCATAATGTATTAGTCTCTTCTTTCTGTGCACTGGGAATAAATTGTTTACCTTTATAGCCAGGTACTGACTTTAACATAAAATCTTGTATTCCTTACACCCAATTACAATAGTCACTTTCATTAAGAAACCAGTAATGTGGCAATTGGCTTGCTGTTAGGGATTAAACATAGTTTCCTGATTTATGTTTCCTTTTTCTAGAAGGTACAGGATTGCTTTGCAGCCTTTCCTTGCCCCCTTATTTAAACCAGCTACAGTTCCATGCGGTCCTCAGACAATTCGCCAATCTAATTAAACATGCAGAGGGAAGCAGGGTGGTCTGGAGTGTCCTGAACTTGCCCTCGCCAGCTGCCGGCCAAGCTTTCTCAATGATCAGCAGCAGGTTGAGTGGGCTAATGGAGAAAGTAACAAGCCCCAGAGGAGCTGCCCTCCTTCCAACGAGCAGTCACTGCTCCACACCACCCGTGAAGGCCTGGGGAAGACGAGCTCTGCCAGCTTGTGTGTGGCTGTGGCTTTTAGAGGCTGCCTGCCAGTCACAGTCTAGCTATTTAAGAGCAGAGGGATTGTTGAGGAAAATATTGACAAGGGGTAATCCTGCTGAGCCACTTGGCAATGCTGAGATAGATCTGGGTCATTGAGAAGTAGGTCCAAACTGCCGGGGGTCTTCCCAGTGTTTTACAACTAGTTCTGACACATCCTCCTTTAAAATATGTGCTTCCGAATATGAGGATTTATCTCAGGGACTCAGACTCTTTCTGCCTACTGTAAACAGAAAGTACGAAGGCTGCCTGCTAAAATGGAAAACACCTCCAACCGAAGCATATGCTTGCCCATGCATCCTGTTCCTTGAAATGTTAGTGTCTGGATGGTCACAACCAAGACTTTTACATATTCATTATTCTATCAGACTGAAATACTTGTATTGTTACATCGATGATGACTTCTGGTTGGTGATGTAGGTGAATGTGTTTATTCATGTGTCTTGCACACTTAGAAAAGTGTGCTGGAACTCGTGCTCCCCCATCCCCATCTCCTCCTGCCCCCTACCATCCCTGGTCCGGGTAAAACTAAAGCATTATCAGAGGAAAGGACATTCTACAGAAATGTAAATAAACTTATTTCTAGGGAGAGGATTCCAGATATGGATACTGATACAAAAACAAAATCATGTAGTAACTTTTTCTCTTTTTTCTCTCTCTAGGAAATAGCCCCCAAGATAGTCCAAGAAATTTCTCCCCCAGTGCCTCAGCCCATTTTTCATTTGCACGGAGGTAAGGACTTCTTGTGAGTGGAGGCATAAAGTCTTATAGAGAGAATCCCATTCCCCTTCTCCCCCTCCCCATTTCTCTCCATCCCTGCTTCTCCCCTTCCCCGTTTTCCCCTCCCCATTTCTCCCCCTCCGCATTTTTCACCCTCCCTGTTTCTCTTCCTCCCCGCTTCTCCCTCTCCCCACTTCCCCTCCTCCTCGCTTGCCCCTCCCCGCTTCTCCCCCTCCGCTGCTCCCTGCCTTGTGAGGCCCCACTCATTATTCTGTAAGGCCTTCTCCAAAGCCCCACTGCCAAAGGAGCTTAGGCTACCACAAAGCTTTGTTTTAACACACCTGCTTTAACAGTTTCAAGCCAGAAATTTAGTGATCCCATTGAGAAAAAGGCATGCATGGGGTATAGGGTGTTTTCTGCTTTCTCTTCCTATCATGTTTGTAACTGGGCACCTCCAAAGTCAAAGATAGATGTCTCATAACTGGACCACTGAGTCAAGAGAAAGTGTTTCTGTTGTTCAGAGGATGGCAGGCACACAGCGTCATATCGCACCATGTTTGTTGTGGATTTTTTACTGTGACGTAGCTGAGTCAGAGGGGTGTGCACAGTCATCTCTTTTGTGTTCTGCATGTGGAATTCATTGGCTTCACCCTGTCAGATGCAAGCCTTCCCATTCCTGGGTGCCTTCATCCTTCTCACATGCATAGCTTGTCCTCTTCTGCCTAGGAAAAACACCGAGAAAACAAAATGGCACCTTCAGCCAAGTTTCTGAATACTCAGGATAAACTTGGTTTATGGTCTGAATGCCCTAGATGTTTGTTCAGTTTTCCTCAGAGTACTAACTACATTCTGAATTGGATTAAAATAGCACTGAATGAAGGCACATAGGTAGGTTAAAAAAGAAGACTTGTTTTTACACACATGACTAACCAGCAAAACTTGCAGTGTTCTCACAACCATTTGTCAGCATGTCATGCATTTTGTATTACTAAGTCTAGAAAAAAAGGATACATTTGCAGCATTTTCAGAATTCTATATAATTAAGATTCCATTATAAATCTGATGTAAAAAAGTTTGTTCTTTCATAGTTTAGCTGTTTCCCATCATGTGTTAAATGTCTTTATGTATCTCACCATGGGGAGGATACAAGACTGATTAAAGCATCATCTCCAGGGAACTTACTGAGACCCATACAGTTTTTACCCCCAGCTCCAACTTTTCTTTTTTTAACTTCTTAAGTACTGTAAGAAAATGTACTGGTCTCAGAAAGCTTGTTTGCCCAATGAATATTAATTTATAATAGTGCTACTATTCCAAGTAGAAAAAAATCCTGTAAAAACTGATAAATAAGTGTCTATTATAGTCTTTAAAACATATCTCTATAAAGGGGAGAATGCATTTAATTAATGTAAGTAATAAGAAAAATGGAAATCTCGTTATGGAGTGCATTTAGACATGACAGAAATCATAGTATCTTAATCCTGGCAGATTTATAAAAATGAAGAGAATCTAATAATTAAATAGGTGACTGGAGGACAGACGAATCTGGTTTCCATGCTATAAAAAAATACATAACCCCCCAGGCATGTTAATTTTTGACAAATCAACCACAAACCGTGACAGGAGATTATCACAGGAGACCTCTAGTTCATTTTGCATGAATTTCCAAATGGAGCTCCCTCCACACTCTTCAAGAAGTATTAATTTAGATTAGGACATGAGTGATCATCATTTTAAACTGTTATTTAAGTAAACAGACCCTGTGCTATGAAAACTCAAATTGGTGAATTTTTATTGAACATCTGGGGTATTTCTCTCCACTTTAGAGTTCATTTTTCCTGAGGCAACATGGAGATTCCACCCCAGGCCCCTGTTACCTTCGGTTTGGTGCACATTGCTAAGCCTTTAAGAAGTAATGTCATTTTGAGACTCCCACATTTTATTGTTTTGTAAAATTTAGTACAACTAAGGAAAGACTGCTCTATTTTTAAAAGCAATCTTGGGTAAAGGAATAAAAGTCTGGCTTATTGATCTTTTCTGATCTTTCTTACCTTATGTGATAATACTTCCCTAGCAGCCATCCCCTGTAACTAAAGTCCAAGTATTGACTAGAAAGTATGATGACACAGACTTGCTTTCTGTGTTTTCAAATGCAGATTTGAGAGTGAAATTATCAAATTAATTTTTTAGTATTAATAAAATGAAAGATGAAAGTGAGAACCATAGCATAGATTTTTGTCAGAGCAAGGAAACATTTTCACATTGCTAATTGTGGTATTAATATACAATCCTCCTGATTGTGGACTGACTTAATCCTTTTTGCCCTGGGGGTGAGATGGAGGTAAAAATATTCTCCTGCCTTTCCCAGAAGTTGTGGAGGTTTATGTATTGCACATTGCGTTCACTTTCATTGGAAACATAGAGCCCTCCAAGAAATGCTGTAGTTCTCTCCTTGTTGCCTAGTTACTATTCACTAGGTTAAGTCTCCAAGTATATTTCCACAAGCGAATTACTACAACAAACTTGCCTGCTAAGTTTGGGTCATCAGACAGTTGTTGAGTACCGGGCTGGAAATCAGGCCTGCTAAAGATTGTTGGCTCTGGTTATGTTTCCAAATTAGAGTGTTTTTCTTCTCCCCTTCTGTTTTTATTCATTTGAATCTGCTGAGTCTGATCTTTGTAACCTCCTAGTTACACCTTCACAATTCTGGAGTAGATTTTAGTTAGCTATATTTACATAGTTCAACTTGTTCCAACATCAAGTAGAATATTCAGTGTATCACTCCAGGTAACTATCACAGTAATTCTGCTTCCTCTGGAATAGCCAGGATGATACTGGAACTTTTCATTCTTTCTTTGTTGTACACCATATTAATCTAAATTTTTGTGAGTGGTATTGAAATGAGGGTTTTTTTTTTCTGCTAATCTTTTTTTGTCCTGTGTTCCCATCGGATGTTTTTCCCTTCTTACTTTTTCATTTAACATTACACCAAGATTGCCACCCCCAAGGAAAAAGACTCTTTTCAAAAAAGGCTTATTGCATTGGCAAGAATGTAGTCTTGTCTTCCGATAACATTTTATTGGTAGCCACTGCAAAGAAAAGACAACATTATTAGCAGAATCCATATTGTACTTGTGTGATAGCTTTCTTGAAAAAAGGGCATGCTCTCTCTTAACTACTATATGTAGTATGTATGGTAACTTCTGATGTGCAGTTGTCATGGTAATAAAAATGCAATGGTCCTTTGTGCTCCATTTGAGTAAATAGACACAGACAACTTAGAGAACTTTATGAGTTGTAAATTATTTCTGGTCCATGGCTGTACAGAGTACTGAGTACATTCTTGTTGAAACGTCTTTCTAGTTGTGTATTTTCCGGAGCAAGCAAATATAATTTATGCTTCAGAACTAATAAGAACGTGTCTTCTCTTGGAATTGCTCATTCATCTGAAATATGTTCATTGATACCTGAGGGGAAGGAGAGTTAATGAATCACGAAACAGAATCATGGTGGGGAGATAGTGTGTCCCTCACTCTTTCCAGAGACTAGTTTCTGATAATTGCTATTAAATGGACTGAATAATTCTTTTAAAATCATATACTTTTCTTACTTTATCAAATTGGAGGTGCGTAAGATAAAGTGCAGCCATGGAGTCTTAACTCTTTAATAAGTAGCCAAATAAAATAGTGTCCATTTAACAATCAAGTATCTTTCTAAGTGTGTTATTATAATTACTTTCTTCTTAAATCATTAACATTTTCAGTTGTTTAAAAGTACTTCAAAAGAACTTATAACTTATCCCAATTTCTTTTATCTGGTATATTTACATACATCTTGTTTTGCTTCTTTTTTAAAACATACTTGATTCAATTGTACTCCAATCATGGTACAGAAATGACAGGTAAATTTTACTAAAACCTTAACATTGTAGTAGTTACGTGATTTGTCCACTTGAATTTTTCCATTTTGTCTTTGTGGACCATTGCATTTATTGGAGGTTACATCCATGGCAGCCTATAATTTTATGTTCCCATGAATGTAGATTTAGGCTAAAATGTCAGTTTTTCACATTAACATCAAACTGTGACATTTCTCACATTCAAGTCTAATGCTGTTGAATTCCCTAACTTTAACTTACTGTGAATGGATCTCTGGTAAATTTTGTCCACTCTTGTCACTTACTTGGCAAGTTAATATAATCATGAATTACAAAATATTCATATAGGACACTGCCATCTTACTGATCTAAGAATGCAGTGTTGCTCTTTTTACAGTGTGTTTTTCCCATTTTGCCCCTTGACAAATTTGCATAGACCCTTCAGAATGTTCTATCATTTTTAAGGCACAGTCTTATCCAAAATTGCTTTTAAAGTAATAGCTCTGGAATGCCAGAGATTTCAGAAAATTTGCTTTCTGGTGCCCCCTTCCCTTTGCAGCAGCATTGTTTCCACTGCCACATTCACTCATCTGAGACCCTTGTATTGACCCTTATTCACAGCCAAACTCCAACTGAGAAGCCACTCATTCTATCATCACTTGAAGGTAAAAACCACCCTCTTTGTGGCTTCTGCCGGCTTTGCCTCTAAGACTGAGGCAACCAACTTTACTCTTTGCGTTAAGTTCTATCACTGATGGAGAAGTTTTCATTCTGCCCCCACTGTTAACTGGCCAGAGCTGGGCTGCTTGCTCAAAGACTCTGCAGGAGGCTTTGCTGTAACAAGCCAGGTCATGTCAGAAGGCAGTAACTCTTAAGAGATTCTGAGCATAAGGTCAGTCACTTACTTGATGCTAAAGTTATTTGACACTTCAGGCCTGAGCCAGCCAGGATCCCAATGATCCCTTCTTCCCTAAGCATGATAAGTAGAACTGCTCCCTTGAAAATTATAAGCAGAAAGTGTTTTGGATGCTAAGCAAGTCCCCACAGGCTCTTGTGCCATGTTGGAAGTCAGGCCCTTCCAAAGATCATTTGCTCTGGTTATCAGTTTCCAGATGAGAGAGTGTTTTTCCTCCTCCCTTTCTGTTCTTATTCTGTTAAATCTGCTGAGTCTGACCATTGTAATTATCCCTGGTATTCATTTTGTCAAAGTGTATTAGTGAGACATCAATAATATGGATCAGCCCATTCACCTTCTACTTGTTTGGTTGTATTGATTCAGTTTAAATAAAAGTCAACCTACTGTATAATGTTTGTTTACCCTCACTCTTGCTGAGCATTTCCACATCCTCACAGACTATGTTTGTGTCATTTGTTTGACTAAAAATACTTGGTTTCCCTGGGGTTACCATGTGACAGTGCACCAGTGTTGTCCGAAGCTAAACTCACTTTCTCAATAGGACTGATGGACGCCGCTGGTCATTGGCTTCTCTCCCTTCCTCTGGCTATGGGACAAACACACCCAGCTCTACGGTCTCTGTAAGTGCCTGGCTTCTTTTTTTTCTCTCCCTGACAACAACAGAGCTATTACACAAGCAGTGTTTTCTCTGGGTGTTTCCTGGTAGGGAGGGGAAGATAAATTCCACGGGTCTGCCACTCTGAATAAGCGACGCATCAAATGACGGCCTGACAAACATAAAAAGGACATACTTTCACTGTAAGCTTTGAAACTGTAGTGCATAGATTAAGTTCCAGGATCACAAGTTTGGAGGAGACTGGAAGCTTTCATTTTAATAACATTTGGTATAGTTTGGGGGAAGAAACACAATCTAGTTTTATTGCTTTGGTTCCATGCCAGTGACATTAATGCTAAAAATGCCACTGAACTTTGATAGACTGGGTCTTTCTTCTTATGTCGCTTAGAGAGAGGTTTGTTTTGTTTTGTTTTCTCTGTCCTTCAAAGAAAAACGAAAAGGCAAGCCTTAATTTGTGCCTTCTAGGTAAGAACTTTCTTTTAAGAGGAGATTAAAACAACTTAGAAGAAGGTTAAGATAAATAGAGACAAGGTGGATCTCTGAAAATAGGATAGAGGGAAAAGGATATTCTTGCCCCAAACTATCAACAAGGGACCTAGCAATTACTGGAAACAATTCAGTCGGTTAGATGTATTTTTTTTAGTTTACATTAGTGATCATGTGGGATCACTGTATCAGCAGGGTGGTAGAAACAAGCCTTTCATTGAGAAAGGCCTAGTAGGTTGTAGGTGTTCAGTAAATGAAGTTATCTGGCTCTACTTGTGGCAGCCAGGAATGTGGACCTGGAGCCTCATTTTGTCAAAATATCTGGTTTATTCTTTAGGGATATCCATCTATTGTATTTTTTATAGCCCCAGCACTGTTTTAAGCACATAGATTTAGCCACTTAATAACACTTGAATGACAAGAAACTACAGTTAAATAAACTCTAACTGATATCACCTCTGCCTTATACTGATATATTTCCAGAATTCCAAGTATAATAATATAATGTAGATTTTCTGGAGTACCTTTGAAACCAAATTGTTAAAATCTGTTGGGTTATTTTTACCATCTCCTTATGGTATTTCATTGAGCAGAGATAATTTATTTTTCTATCCATTATTCCATTTTGTTGTGCTATATGAGTCTATTGTCCATTTAGATCATATTTTTAGAAACATCCTAACAACCTTGAGTGGTTCCAGAAGCACATTAGCATCAGTAAAGGATGCTTAAAAATCCTGAATAGCAGCAATGAATAAAACTGTCAGTAAATAGGCTAGGAACAGTGGCTCATGCCTGTAATCTCAGCACTTTGGGAGGCCCCGGTGGATGGATCGCGAGGTCAAGATATCGAGACCATCGTGGCTAACATGATGAAACCCCATCTCCACTAAAAATACAAAAATTAGCTGGGTGTGATGGTGCACACCTGTAGTCCCAGCTACTCAGGAGACTGAGGCAGGAGAATCACTTGAACCCAGGAGGA